ACAAAAAATAGTTTTTTCTTTTAATTATAGGAATTACATCTAGAAAATAACCAAATTGAAGAAATAACTGAAATTTGTTTCAATCGTACCAGAAAGATCAATGTCATTGTACTACGTTATAACAAAATTGAAGAAAATAGGATTGCTCCTTTAGCCTGGATAAATCAAGAGTAAGTATATGCTACAATTTAAATTTTATTGAACTATTTCTTCCTCTTGCCATTATTAAACAGAGTATGAAAACTGAGAATGGGACAAGTGAGGGAGGTGATGACTGAAGGGCTTGGAGACAGAATTGTTTCTTAGTGGACCCTTACCTTATACCCAAACTGGGCTACTTCATGTAGTTTCCAACCTGCGCATTGTATGACTGGTGTTAGGATTACTACAGTTACTACTGCTGTTGTCACCATACTGCATACTGGACACCCTACCATATGCCAAGTGCTGAGCTAGCAAGAACTGCGTCCCAGCTGTCTGACCCTGAGGTCTGCCCACTAGTGGTCAAATGCCACTGTAGTTCTGCCTACTTCACAGGTTGTCAGGAGGTTTAAATGAGATAATCCCTTGCACACAGTGAGAAATAAATCTGCCATATTCCTTCTCTTCATCATCATTAGATGAAAGCACCAGGCTCTAGAGCCCAGGCCTGTTCTCCTACACTACACAGCCTTCTTTTCTCCAAACTATTTCTTCACCTCAAGTCTTACAAAAGAGACAGAAGGATGCTTGACCTGACAGTGGAGGCCAAAAGTAGACTCCATCTTCCTGGACAAGAATCAGCAGCCTCTGGCTGTGGTTCTCAGTGAAGGTGTAGGGAGTTAGAAGCAAGCCCTGCAGACAACTGGGATCTAGGATTGCATGTCCTGGGAACTATGTGCCTAAGTAGCACAGCCTGGAACATGTGTCATTCAGAAGCAGGATGGAGAGACCAACTGGGCTCAGCAGCATGTGGCACTGAGTCCACTGTGGGCAGAGGAGTCTTCATCAAGTGAAAAGAGGGTATGGAGCAGAAACCTTAGGAGACTCGGGTGGGGTTCCTGAAACAAGCCAGTGAGTTTTTCTCGTTTCCCAGATCTTATAGATGATTAATAGCATTTTCTAGATCCCTCAGGCTCACCTCAAGTCTCAGGTGTGCCAGGTCATCAAATCAAATGTGGAATGAAAATGTAGGGGAAGGGGAACCAAAACAAGCCAAACAAACCAAACTTCCTTGCTGGAACCACAGACTTTACAGATAGGCATTTGATGTACGCTGGGACTCATGGGATTTCATTTTGGATTCAACAGATCAACCTTAATGGTATTTTAGTCTTTGGGCCTCAGTATTACCCCTAGGGATATGAGTTTTTCCCTCCTGGACTTTGATGCACCCCTTGAATGGACTCACATAGCTGGGAGGCAGTATGGCACACTAGTAAGGACATGCACCTTGATGCAAGAAACCAGGGCTGGCTACACCTGGAAAAGTTCCTATTTGGAATCATCACTACAAAATAGTGCTTATAGGAAAATGGACCAGCATGAAGACTGGCCTTGTCAAAATTTAGAGCTGATAATCATCATCCTGATGTCCCTACCCTGTTTACTTTTTCTTTGCTGCAGAAATCTAGAATCCATTGATCTCTCCTACAACAAGCTCTATCACGTCCCCTCCTATCTACCCAAGTCCTTGTTGCACCTTGTGCTCCTTGGGAACCAGATTGAACGGATCCCTGGCTATGTGTTTGGCCACATGGAACCAGGTCTGGAATACTTGTACCTGTCATTTAACAAACTTGCTGATGATGGCATGGACCGTGTGTCCTTCTATGGGGCATATCATTCCCTGAGGGAATTATTTCTGGATCACAATAACTTAAAATCGATACCACCTGGGATACAAGAAATGAAAGCACTACATTTTCTGAGGCTGAACAACAACAAGATACGGTAAATTCTGGCTTTTTCAAGCATCTGATTAAATTTTGATCGACAAAATATAAAACAATCATGGCATGATCTCTGGGATTTATGTTTTAAAAAAAAGGTGCTAAGGGGTTGGATTATACAAGATTGGCAAATTTTAGTAATCACTGAAGGTGGATGACAGGTATGTGAAGATTCATTATAAACTTTTCCTACTTTTGCACATTTGTAAATTTCCATAGTTAAAACATTTTTTTGGCCAGGTGTGATGGCTCACTCCTGTAATTCCAGCAGTTTGGGAGGCCAAGGCAGGCAGATCACCTGAGGTCAGGAGTTCTAGACTAGCCTGGCCAACATGGTGAAACATTGTTTCTACTAAAAATATAAAAATTAGCCAGGCATGATGGCATGCGCCTGTAATCCCAGCTACTTGGAAGGCTGAGGTGGGAGAATCGCTTGAACCTGGGAGGCAGAGGTTGTAGTGAGCAGGGATTGTGCCACTGCACTACAGCCTGGGTGACTGAGTTAGATTCTGTTTCACAATTAATTAATTAATTAACAGAGTCATCATTATATAACACTTAGAACTTTAGAAACAGGTTCAAATAACTCTTCAAAGCAATAGATTATGTTACTATGCCCACCTCCATGTATACATAAATAAAACTAATCTGCAGAGCATGAAACCTAAATATATGTTAAAATTAAAACTGCTTCTGGCCGTGCTAGGAGGCTCATGCCTGTAATCCCAGCACTTTGGGAGGCCAAGGCAGGTGGATCACCTGAGGTCAGGAGTTCAAGACCAGCTTGGTCAACATGGTGAAACCCTGTCTCTACTAAATATACAAAACTTATCTGGGCGTGGTGGTGGGCACCTGTAATCTCAGCTACTCGGGAGGCTGAGGCAGGAGAATTGCTTGAACCCAGGAAGGGGAGGTTGCAGTGAGCCGAGATTGCACCATTGCCCTCCAGCCTGGGTGACAGAGCGAAACTCCATCTCAAGAAAAAAAAATTAAAATTGCTTCTATGTAGATTTTTCTGAAAGCAAATTTCTGAATAAATTTATTGAGACATTTTCCCTACTTTTAGAAACACATTTTCCTGCATGTGTTGAGCTTACACACTGAAATGTCACTCCTGCCTGGATGGCATGAGTGTCTTGAGAATTAATCCAGAACACTTTGTTAGTAGGGTCTTTATCACTGGCAGTGAGGGAGGCAATAACCTTGTTGTTCTGTCCCTGAGAATTATGCCTCTTAGTCTTTACTCTTCTCTAAATGTCCAAATAAACTAAATGCCTACAAAACCAAACAAAAACAGAAAAGTTTGAGTTTTCAAAGATACTGGAGGAAGAGATGGTGTTTGGGAAGGCTTTGTAAAATTAAGTTTCAGAACTTTTCGGCAAAAATACTTCACAGGTTGTGTCATATGCTTCATAGTGCATTGCATCAGAAGGTGTCTAATGTTTGTCCCACTTTTGTCATTCTAAAATTGATCAGTGGGTTGAGGTAGTCACAGCCTGGTATCTCCTAAAACAAACTTACTCCTCCATCATTGAACCAATGGTTTCACTCACAGATGAACATTGTTTGAATTATTATTTCATTAGGGGTAACAAAATAATGAATTTCTATTTTTGTCATGCTTCTCATGTTTATTAGCTGGAATTCCTCTGTAAAAACATTTTTGCTCATCAACTAGGGCTGCTTTGTTACTCTGAAAGGCAAGAAAAAAGCTCAGTTTTTTCCTTTATACCACCAATGGGAGTAAGAAGTTGGAGCCTAAATGTTTTTGTTTTATTTTGTTTTAGGGTTGTTTTTGTGGTGAATCAATATATACACTTAGCCTTTCGTATAAGCCATATATTTCTTTTTTTTTCTTTTTTTTTTGAGACGGAGTTTTGCTCTTGTTACCCAGGCTGGAGTGCAATGGCATGATCTCGGCTCACCGCAACCTCCGCCTCCTGGGTTCAGGCAATTTTCCTGCCTCAGCCTCCTAGCCGTATGTTTCAATCAGTTGCAGTCATTATTCTTAAACTATCCTGTCTCTGGACAATGGTTGCCCTTCAAACTGGCTCTTGTGTCTGCTCACTTGTTTTTGGGTACATGTGGGCCGCAGGCTTACTTTCTGCATTCCTTACTGCAGACCTTCCTCCAAAGAGCCTGGCCCCTTTCTTTGGGGAATAGTATTGAGAAGCCTCAAGTGGGAACCAGATGTGCTCCTTTCAATTGTGTTGCTATTGTTTTAAGGGCTTTCAGTGGACTGCCAGGAAATTTCGTATTTTGAAAAGAAAATAAGTAAGTTCAGACTGACATTCCCAAATCAAAGTTAACATCATCAAAAATTAATTTCTTTTATTAAAACTTGTTTCTCTTACACTGAAAATCTGGGTTCCCAACAATATTAACTTGGATAATCTTACAATATGTGAACAATTGTTTTGAAAGGACATCATTATTACTGCTAAAAATAAAAGCTTTTTTTGAGATGAAGTCTTGCCCTCTTGCCCAGGCTAGAGTGCAGTGGCGCAATCTTGGCTCACTGCAACCTCTGCCTCCCAGGTTCAAGCGATTCTCCTACCTCAGCTTCCTGAGTAGCTGGGATTACAGGCGCCTGCCACTGTGCCCAGCTAATTTTTGTATTTTTAGTAGAGACAGGATTTCACCATCTTAGCCAAGCTGGTCTCGAACTCCTGACCTTGTGATCCACCTGCCTCGGCCTCCCAAAGTGCTGGGATTACAGGTGTGAGCCAGTGAGCCGCTGTGGCAGGTAGCTCATAATTTTAGGACTTGATTTCTTTTTGAGATGGAGTCTAGTCAACAGCACTAGACTGGAGGGCAGTAGTGCGATCTTGGCTCATTGCAACCTCCGCCTCCTGGGTTCAAGCAATTCTCCTGCCTCAGCCTCCTGAGTAGCTGGGATTACAGGTGCACACCACCACACCCAGCTAATTTTTGTGTTTTTAGTAGAGACGGGGTTTCACTATGTTGGTCAGGCTGGTCTCAAACTCCTGACCTCATGATCTTTCCGCCTCGGCCTCCCAAAGTGCTGGGATTACAGGCGTGAACCACCACGCCCCACTGGTGCCAGGCTTTTTTTTTTTTTTTTTTTTTAAACAACCAGTTCTTCTAAGAATAGAACAAGAACTCACTCAGTCCCCTGATCCTAAAGAGCCTAAAGAGGATATTAATGAATGGTCTGCCCCCATGACATGACCCAAACACCTCCCATTAAGCACGACCTCCAACACTGGGGATCAGATTTCAACACGAGCTTTGGAGGGGTCAAACCAAACTGCATGTATGGGGTATGTATATTTTTTCTACTCTTTGCTTTATAAAAGTATCAGTATATCACTCCACATCAGTATGTAGAGAATTTCTTCATTCCTTTTTATAAATGAATATTATGTGGATATACTATATTTTATTGAATCAGTTCCTTACTGACATTTGATTGCTTCCACTCTTACTACTAAAAATAATGCCACAAAAGATAAGTTTGTGTAAATGTCATTTTGTGTTTTTTTCCAGTTTAACTTTGGGATAAAATCAGAGGAGTGGGAATGCTGAGTGAGTGCAAAGAGTAAAGTGCATATGTAATTTTGCTGGATATAGCCAAATTCCTCTCCAGAGGGGGTGCACCATTTTGCATTCCCTTCAGTGTTATTTGATTGGTCCAGGCTCACCATTAGAATATGTTAATGAGCTTCTGGATTTTTGTTTTGTTTTGTTTTGTTTTGCAAATCTTACAAGTAAAAAGTGGTATGCCAGTAAGGTTTCGATTTGCATTTTTCTTATGAATGTAATCCAGCATTTTCCATTTTGCTCCTAGATTCTTAGGAAGTCTTTGTATATTTGCCTTTCATCTGTAGCATAAGTTACTTTCTCCTTCTTTTTCATGTCGTTTAATTTTGCACTTTCTTTTAAAAACTTGCAGCAAATTTTGGCCGGGCGCAGTGGCTCAAGCCTGTAATTCTAGCACTTTGGGAGGCCAGGGCGGGTGGATCACAAGGTCAAGAGATCGAGACCATCCTGGCCAACATGGTGAAGCCCCGTCTCTACTAAAAATACAAAAATTAGCTGGGTGTGGTGGTCGGGCGCCTGTAGTCCCAGCTACTCGGGAGGCTGAGGCAAGAGAATTGCTTGAACCCAGGAGGCGGAGGTTGCAGTGAGCTGAGATTGTGCCACTGCACTCCAGCCTGGAGCCTGGTGACAGAGTGATACTCTGTCTCAAAAAAACAAAACAAACAAAAAAAACCTTGCAGTAAATTTTAAATCTTTCCTTTCAGTGTTTCTGGTTTTCAAATCACATATAGGAAGAATCTCCTGAGTCAGAGGGTGTGACCACAGTCCATTCTAGTGCTTCTATGGCTTCATCTTTCACATTTGGATCTTTGATGTAGTTGGAATTTATTCTGGTCTCTAATATAAAGATCCAACTTTATTTTAAGAACAAAATAATTTTTTTTAACAAATGTTAAACTTAACTCCTAAATGAAGGCAGATTATTATTTGGACCATGTGTGACTTGCATGTCTATTTTTCCTTAGGAATATTCTTCCAGAACAAATTTGCAATGCTGAAGAAGATGATGACTCAAATCTGGAACATCTTCATCTTGAAAACAATTACATCAAAATTAGAGAAATACCATCTTACACATTTTCATGCATAAGATCATATTCAAGTATTGTTCTTAAACCACAAAACATCAAGTGATTCCAAGTTTTCCTTTGCCATTTATAAACTTTACTCATATATTTGTAGTAGCTGCATTTGCCTTATTTTGTCTTTAATAAGAGAGACATGATCCTCCTGTTATACTCAGTATCATTATATGCTAGTCAACCTGATTCGCCAATCCACAGATGAACAACCAAAATATACCTAAAAGGTGTAGTCTTCTAAGAGTTTTATTAATAGTAAAGGTAAAATCTCTCAGTTTCCCACCTCTAGAAAGAGGCCATCTCACTAGAATAGGATATTATGCATATTGAGCTAGACCAGAAGAGTCTGGGACAAAACAAACACATCCTTTATAATCAGCTTGAGTACTGGTATTAGCTGAGAACTCTGTAAGTCCCTTTAAAAATTATCTATCTTATGGTTCAAGATTAAGAAGCATAAGGGCAAGAAAAAAAAAGGCAGAATTTATGAATAGTTTTTTAGTATTCTGTTAAAACAATAATTTATTAATTTCCTATAAGGCCTTATGCTACTGGTATAAATATAACTAAGTATTGGGGTAGTTTTAATTTCTTCTATTAATTACTTGTGTGAAATTAAAACACTACTATAATGTTAAATTCCTGCTTTTGAAAATTGTATTATGGTTATGTACATTGTTAACATTATGGGAAGCTAGCAGAAGGGTGCACATAAATTCTATACTATTTTTGAAACTTCTATAATTCTAAAATTATTTTTTAAAGTTAAAACAATATATTAACATCACCTTCACTATTCTTCACTCAAGATTAAAAAACTTGGAAAGCAGTAGAGTTTGCTTAAAATACATTAATTATTCTTGACTATAACCTTGTAAAGGTAAATCTAATGTATAAATTTTTGAAAATTTTTGCGCCACTGGTCATAGCATCTATCTCCTTTGCCTTAATTTACTGAACTATATCATTTTATTCAGTTCAATTGAACATAAAGTCATGTCTTTACTATGTATTGGCCCTACCAAAACCATATATTAAATTTTTATAACATAATGATCTTTTATGTTTGTGTTGCTAAAGTAATTTACAAGACACATATAGAAACTACGTTGACGTCTTTTGTCACTCTCTGTTTTAAGTGCCAGGAGCTTAAGTGCCAGTCTTGGCCCCACTGCATAGTTTCTCTAATTTTTTAAGCTTTAGTTATTTAATCATTTAATAGTTCTCTCACCGCTCTAGGAACCTTCCATTCCCACTTCACGAGGCTGTTATAAGAACCAGAAAAGAATGTAAAGCATTTTGGAAAGTATGGTATGGATGATGAATGCAGTTATTATTACCAATATCTCATATAAAACTGAGAGGAACCAGCATAGCCAACCACAATTGATAATTTCATGGGTGACTTTCAATTTAATGAGTGTGAAAAGTTTGAATAACATTACTTCTAAGCCTTACTTTCTAAACCCTTCCTTAATATGCAAAATTCAAAGATTATAACATGAACAACAATAATAATATGAAGATAACTGTTGTACTCGAGAGTCAACAACTTGTAACAGGTTGTGTGTAAGGAAGAAAAATGGAATTTTATGGAACAAAAGTTGAGCTTCGTAATCAGTTTAGGAATGAAGGAGAATTACTAATTTTAAATTGGCCAAGTTGAATTTAAGAGACAGGTAAAAACAAGAAGGTAAGGTTACACATCAATTTAACAGGAATCCTTGTGCAATATTTGATGTACGAATATAAACGCATTGACATAAATGGTTTAAGGCAATGTAAGCTGTAAACAAAATTAGTATTAAAGGGGACTCAGATTGAATAAGTTGAGTCAGCAGAATTAGCATTTTGGGATGACACAGAGACAGATACTGAACCATTCCTTCATTCATTTCTTACTGACTTTCTTCAGCTGTGTTTCAAATGCTGTTCTAGAGAAAGACAATGACAAACAGATCAGATGAGGCCTCTCCTCTCTGGTAGGGGCAATAAGCAGGAAATCAAGCAGATGATTAAGTAAGCAGGCAAGTGCTGGTCAATCAGAAAAATGAGTGACAGTGCAATGAGCACACTGGGGCCTGCGCACACTAGGACCTGAGGGCCGCCAGGAGACTACGGTCACTCCCAAAAACCTGGAGTAACTGCAGCCCCAGACCTGTGCCTGTGAAGCAGGCACACTGTGGGCTTGCTGTGCCTGTCTTTTCCCAACCTCTGCCTTGGTAGCAGAATCCCAAAGAAAGACGAAAATCAGAATGACCGGCTCCCCGTGGTGGCTCACACCTGTAATCCCAGCACTTTGGGAGGCCAAGGCAGACGGATCATGAGGTCAGGAGTTTGAGACCAGCCTGGCCAACATGGTGAAACCTCGTCTCTACTGAAAATACAAACAATTAGCCAGCCATGGTGGCATGCAACTGTAATCCCAGCTACTCAGGAGGCTTGAAGCAGAACTGCTTGAACCTGGGAGGTGGAGATTGCAGTGAGCCGATTATCATGCCACTGCACTGCAGCCTGGGCAACAGAGCGAGACTTGGTCTCAAAAAAAAAAAAAAATCAGAATGACTGATTGAAGTTTTATTCTTAATTTGGAAGTTGTACTTATTTCAACTGATTTTACAATTTTTAAAATACATCTTAGTAACTTGTTCAGTCTTGAAATTTCACGATGTTCTGGATGGGAAGTTTTAATTCCATAAAAAAGTGATAAATGTCTTTATGGCAAATACTCTTCACAGTATAAGGTACTAAAAAACAGATGTTCTGTTTGGCTTCAAAAATTACACTATAATTACTAACACACACATAAACTAAAAAAGTTCTGGCCTAGCCATGATCTAAAAATATTAATGATGTGTCTTGTCTTTGCATACACACAAACACACACACACACACACACACACACACACACACAGGAAAACTATAATTTTGAGATTTGGCATATTATCAATAAGAATATTATAAGCAGCACTAAAGAAATGATTTAGTGAAAGACATACAGAGCCTGGTATAAGGAAATATCTACACCGGGAACCAGGAGACTTGGGAGCCCATCTTGTTCACCAATAATTATGCAGTTGTTTTACTTCTTTGGGATTCATTTGATTTAATTATAAAATAATGTTTGGAACAGATCAGTGGTTTTCAGACATGGTTCATTAGGGGTTTCATGTCACTGATAAGGAAGAGAATAGGCCTCTCTCTTCAAACAAAGTAGCTTTGCTCTCATCAGAAAGGGTTGACACCCACCCCCTTTTCTTCTTACAACCAACAGACTAGGTACTATCTAAATGACACACTAGGTTTTAAAATCCATCAAGAACATGTAGCCTTCTCTTCCCTTTCCCCAGGTCCAAGAGCATCCAAGCTGAAGAGGGTTGGCCTGAGGAAGAGGCCACCTGTTTTTCCTTCTAAGCACCAGTGCAGTGGGTGAGATTAGCCCTGAGCAGACTGCTGGGCCCCTGACCGCCTTAAAATGGCTAGTTGACAAGCTTCTGTAGGAAAGGGCACAGTACTGCGTGTTCACCAAGCTCCTTGCAGGGCAGGTGACAACGTTGGGGTTCAGTGAGGGCAGGTGGCACATGAGAACGACAGGGAATATGTGACTAAGTCTAGACTTTCCCTGCATTTTCTGACTCTGAGGTTGGTTCTCCTCCTGCTGAACCAAGCTGTCTCTCCCTTAGAGTTTGGATGGAAAGTCTAGGGGACCCAAGAGTGGCAGGCTGCCTAAAAAGGTCCGAACCTGGGTGGCTGATGCTCAACTGGAGGGCACAGGGTGTGTGGTATGGCAGGTGTTGCCAATGGGGGGAGGGAGACACTCAAATCACCTTGCCTTGAAATGGCATCATCAAATGGCTCCAAGTACATCTCCTTAGAAGCCATTCTTGCTAAGTCCAAGTTAATTACTCCTTAAGATGACCGCTTTTATTAAAACAGAAAAAACCACCCACAATGTTGTACAGTTGAAATATGCAGCGTCCTCTAGTTGTCTTGGACAACTCCAGGGGTCATCAAGACAAGATGATTATTCCCATTCACACATAATTATTCCAGTAACTGTTTTATAATATGGAGTGCAAATATTTAAATTGACTTGGAAATGTTAACAAATTCTGACAATGCTTGTTTTAAGATTATTTTAGGCTATATGAAAATTTAAGCCACAAATTACAGGTATATTACTAAAGAATAAAACCCCAAATTTTTGGTAGCATATTTGTGTTAAAATGTTGTAGGCAAAAATGGTTTCTCTAATTTGACTAATTTAGATGGGGAGTAATGAAAGATGCCTGTGATATAATACAAAACATAATTAACATTAAACCATGCAACACATAAGCATAGTTCAGAGGAGAAAGATCAATGGTCCTTGAAACAGAAATGTCAATCAGTGAGAGAAGGAGATGGAGGGGTTCACGTCTGGGCTCATCCACCAAGGAGTCCAGCCTCACCATGGCAGGAAAGGAGAGCTCAGGCCAGGAATTAGACCAGATTTAAGGCAATGAGAAATGCACATACCACTGAAAAATGCGGAAGCAGGAAGTGTTCTATGAAAGAAACAGTTTAAGGAAAAAGAAATACACACTGCAAAAATCTAGAAATAGAGTGAATGAAAGCCTTCACAGCACAGGTAGGAGAGAGACACCAAAAGAAATTCAGTGAATAGGTATCTTGCCAGATAAGGGACAGACAGAAAAGAAGTGACCAAAGAGAAAACTGCTCTGAATCTCATAACGCTGCTGAGAAGTTGAAAGAAAGGGGCCATCTGTGAGACAATGCTGAGCTTGGGGTGTCACGATGGGGGTCAGGCAAGACAACGGGAGGATGGTAAAAATGGGAAGGCATGGGGTCAGAGCTGAATTCACGGGCAAGGACGTACACCTGAAGGG